ATGGGTTGAGCAGGTCTGGATGGGTGGGTGTAGTCGAAGATAATTCTTTTGAATTTAATTTGAAAATCGCGCAAAGTAAAGATAAAAGTATAATTGAGCTTAAGGAAAGTTTAGAAAAATCTGAACATAAATTGTTTGAATTAAGAAATGGCGTAGTTTATAAAAAGGCTGAGAATGGAAATGTCTTAATTTTTTATGTACCCTCAAGTATGGAAAATAATGTCATGTTTAAATACCACGATGAATTGGGACACCAAGGTATAAATAAGGTTTACGAGGTTGTACGTCGCAGTTATTGGTTCCCAAAAATGAAGGAAAAAATCGCCGAGCATGTAAAAAATTGCTGTAAATGCATCGCATTTACGCCAGTGTCAGGAAAGGTCGAGGGGTTAGTTCGCGCTATACCTAAAGGAAATAAACCATTCGAGCAATTACATATTGATCATATCGACATTTTTGATAACCGGGTGAAATCAAAAAAACATATTTTAGTAGTGGTAGATGCTTTTACGAAATTTACTAAATTGTACCCGACTAAATCTACGACATCTGGCGAGGCGATTGCATGCTTAAAAAAATATTTCAGTGACTATAGTAAACCAAAATTGTTGATAACAGATCGTGGGACTGCTTTTGCTTCGCAAGAATTTGCTGATTTTGTGACAGAATACGAAATAACGTTACACAAAGTAGCTACCGCTTCACCGCAGGCAAACGGCCAGGTAGAACGAGTGAACAAGGTGTTAGCGCCAATGCTTGGAAAATTGAGTAATCACGAAGTAGGGAGATCGTGGAATAAAGTCGTTAATGAGGTAGAATACGCGATTAACAATACTGTTCACGGGTCAACAAATGAAATGCCTAGTATGTTATTGTTTGGTGTGAGTCAGCGGGGCAAGACGAACGACAATATTGTTGAATTTATGAATGCGGAAGTAAATGTCGAAAATCGAAGTTTAGAAATATTGCGAGCTCAAGCAGATAATAATTTACAGAAAGCACAAAATGTGTATATAAAGAATGCGAATGCTAAACGTCGAGTTGCACATGAATATAATGTCGGAGATTATGTAATGATCAGGAATATTGATTCAACGAAAGGAGTGTCGCCTAAACTTATTCCTCGATTTAAAGGCCCATATGTCATATCCCGAGTACTTAGAAATCAGAGATATGTGTTGTCGGATATTCCAGGTTGCCAAATTACCCAGCGTAAATATGAAGGTGTGTGGGAGCCACGGAATATGAGATTGTGGTGTGAGAGTAAATAAAAGCGAGATTCACTGTAAGAAATGTGTCTCCGAGGACGGAGAATTGTCAAGATAGGCCGAATCTGTAACGTAATATTTAGGGGATATGTTAGAGTAATGAGTGGGGAACCGAAGAATCCCGATAGATTACGAATAATTACAAAGAGATAATTAGTTAGAGCTTTGCCGACCGGTCTCGCGACAACTTGTATTTTTAATTAATGACGACTTCCTGACATAATAAACTGTTTAAACTCTTAAGTTGGTGTTCTATTTATTGTGTTTAATCACAAAGAGTATATTTTAACCCCTTTTACACAGTATAGTGTTGTTTTAAACCTTTATAAATATTGAAGTGTTTTTCTGTTTAAATAAATTTAGCCTGATGAGGTTGGCAAACCTTAGCCAACGAAGCGTCGCAATTTTGACGATACATTGAATTTTTCAATTCTTCACCTTCCCATGATCATTTATTTTACTACTAATAAGTTTAATATGTTTATCTATATGATTTTTAGGGTTCCGTACACCTACGGTGTATCGGCGGAACCCTATTGGTGAGACTCTGTTGTCCGTAGCCAAATCGTGTCCCCCCCCAAGCGGCTAAACTATTTGACCTAAAGAGCTCAAATTTGGTACAGATATGTATTTTCACACGTAGATTACAGGAAAAATATAGCGAATGTGATTGGACGTGATGGGCATAGCGTTGTCAAGGAAATAACAAGATTTTTGGCCAAAAATGCATAAAAAGTGACCATTCCCCCCCTTAACTTCTAAACTATTCGACATGGAGAGCTGAAATTTTGGACGCTGGTGTATTTTTACTCGAATATTACAGGAAAAATATAGAGCACTCAATATGTAATGATGGCCATAGCGTTGTCAAGGAAAAACTAAAAAATTAAAAAGAAAAAATTTGTTTTCCCTAACTTTTACATTATTTGACCTAATGAGCTGGAAATTGGTATCCTGGTGTATTATTACAGTCTGACGACAAAAAATTTATTTAAGAAACTTTTAAAAAAAAAAATAAAATAAAAAAAAAAATGTTTTCTGACTTTAATTTCCTAACTAAAAATAAAAAAAAATTGGACAATTGCGAGTTGTACTCGCACTGCAATGGCGGGTTCCGCACACAAATATTAAAACAATACTTGCAACATTGATCGGTAATTGGTAGAATTAAAATAAACAATTATAAAAATATATTAAAATCATTTGATAAAAAAAATAACTAAAAAAAATTAAAGTATTGTATATATCTAATATTGTAAACAATAATAAGCAGAGGAACAAAATTTTCAAAATTTATTATAGTTCCTCTGCTTATTATTGTTGACAATATTAGATATACAATACTTTAATTTTTTTTAGTTATTTTTTTTTATCAAATGATTTTAATATATTTTTATAATTGTTTATTTTAATTCTACCAATTACCGATCAATGTTGCAAGTATTGTTTTAATATTTGTGTGCGGAACCCGCCATTGCAGTGCGAGTACAACTCGCACTTGTCCAATTTTTTCTATTGTATATTCTATTTAGTATATTTTCTGTTTGCTATGTATTTTTCAATCTTTTTTTATTTTTTTATTTTATTTTTAATATTATTTTCTGTTTATTTTTAATTAACGATGATCAGAGATAGTTTGCAGACTCAAACATTTAATATTATCTTATTATAAAATAGTCATATTACTTATAATTATATTTATTTCTAGATCTTCTTCCTGATCCCGCACCTCAGAAAACACTTTTTGCGTCAAATGAAAGCACGTTGAACAGAGATCAGCAAGGTAAAACTAATGATAATTTAGTTTTTGAAAATTAAAACATATATTTTTCAATTTAAATATTCTCAAGTATTATATTTTAAAAATTTCGACAAGTTACAAATTATTTGATCAATTTTTTATTACTTATCTTATAAAAATAAGAATCAAATTATAGTTTAGCTCACGTACAAAAAATATATATATTTTTTAAAAAATTGCTTTTTAAATAGAAACTAAATTTCATTTTTAACCATTTATATTAACACTAAACTGAAATTTAAATTTTTATATTTTTCCAGAGCTTAAACTTACTTCTTCAATCCGATCATCTCAAACGCCAATTGGTAATTCAATAGCTAAGTGTAAAACATCTTCATCTAAGACAATAAAATCAGAAAAATCTGGTCCTGGGAATGTTGGTAAAAAGTGTGCAGAAAAATTGTCAAAATCAAAAAATGGATTGTCTAACCTGATTTCACAGGAAAAAAATTATGGTAACCTATTTTTTAAATATTTTCTTTTTCATAATTATAATATTTTACTTACTCAAGTGTGAAATAAAATTCTATTATAAAAGTAATTCTCTAGACTTTTGCAATAACTTTTTTTAGCACAAGAAAATAAAAGTAGTTTTTTATAATTCTTTCCTTCAAAGGGTAGATATCAATTTTACCAATTTTTCCTTGCTTCTAATCTTAATCAGATTAAACTTAAAAATAAATTTTTTTTAAATTTAAGAATTTTTATTTAATAAATAGTGATAAATTATTTTTGCAGTTTTAGATAGAGAAAAAATACTTTTTCAGGGAACTTATTACGTTTTTCAGAAAAAAAAACATTCATTCATTATAATTATTATAAATTTTTAATTAACTATAGAGTTTAAACCTGCTCCTTCATCCCGATCATTCCCTCTGAGCAAAAGAATATCCCAGGGATATCCCTGAGATATCTCGCGGGATATTGGGATATCCCAGGGACATCCCTGGGATATCTGTGACGTCTCAGAGATATCCCTGGGATATCCAAATTTCCATCCCATGGGAGACTCGCGCGGGATATCCTAATATTATCCACGCGGGATATGCTACGTGAGAAATAGTAATATGTTGAAAAATAATTAGAGCTTTAAACAGTTGAAAAACCATTATTAAATTATAACTAGAATGAGAGAAAAATTATTTCAAAAATAAAAGATTATATTTGACTAATATCAAAGATATTTTTTTGTAATTTAATAAACATTAGTTGAATTCAATAAAATGTCTTTTTAACGCTAAACATTTATTGTGTGTGGGTTTAAACTAATTTTGGTCAATTCATTTTGTCTATTACTGATAAATATTTATTGGTTAAAGATATTTACAAGAAAATAAAAAAATGTGAAAGTTAAACATATTAAACAACAACACATAATCACACACTGCAAAACACACGCTTCTGATCTAATGACGCGACGCCATGGTCGCCATGACACTCAACAGCTGGGAAGGTCGACGCCTGCGCGTGTAAGATTATATGAGTACATACATATAAAATTTTATTTCTTTCTTGTTTAAAGGGAAAAATATACTGGATTTTCAGTATTTAATCTAGTAATTCATGCATTATTTGTTTAGAATGTAGTTAGAATAAATAATTTAATAATTTAATATATTATCTACCAATATTTGATGCAAAAAATATTGAATGAAACTTTTTTGACTTTAATTTGTAAATATAGTTCCACACAATCTTTTGACACTTGGAACGATCGTATTCCGTTTAATGCACATGCGCTGACATATATCCCACTATATCCCACGCGAGATATCCCAGGGATATCCCACGCAAGACACCCCACAAAAAAAAAATTTGCATATCCCGTGGATATCTCAGGGATATCCAATGGATATCCCTGGGCTATCCAAATTTCCGTCCCGTGAGATATCCCATGGGATCTCCCTGGGATATCCAAGGGATGTCGCGGGATGGAAATGGGATATCCACGGGATATCCCATGCTGTGAGGGTTTGGTTCGCTGTCTAAATCGACACTTGAATCAACACGTCGATCTCTACATGAATCAACTCGATTATCACCTGGATCAAGACGCCGATCACCACCTCGAGCACAACTTGGATCAACAAGTAGATCACCTCGATCATCCACTGGATCAACACGCCGATCACCACCTCAATCACTACTTGAATCAACATGTAGATCACCTCGATCATCAACTGGATCAACACCCCGATCACCACCTCGAGCACTACTTGGATCAACAAGTAGATCACCTCGATCATCCACTGGATCAACACGCCGATCTCCACCTCAATCACTACTTGAATCACCGCGTCGATCACCTCGATCATCACTTGGATCAACACGCCAATCACTAAGTCAATCACCCCACCGATCACCATCTCGATTGCCACCACTTGCGTCACAAGACCATTCAATTGAATGGTCTTGTTGAATGTTGATAATACATCTTCTATTCCATCAACCAAACCGAAAAAATCAGATTCTACGAATATTGATAAAAAATGTCCTACAAAAACGGCAAAGGCAAAACATAGTCTGTCTAGTATGGCTTATCAGGATAAAAATAGTGGTAATTTAATATTCTAATTCAATTTAACTAATTTTGAATAATGTTTAAGAAATAAGAAAGATTTGGAAGAACTAAATGGAAAATTAAATGTCAATACTTTCAAACGAAAAATGGTCTGTTACCAATTTAGTTTTCTTTTCTTGATTGTACATTATTAATATTTTATTAATTATTATTTTATTTTTTAATAAAATTAAATTATTAAAATAATTAGTAATAAAAAATATAAAACATAGAATTTTGTTAGGGTTAGTTTTAATCGAACAGTAAATTGTAAATTCTGTTGATTAATTTATCTTTAAATTATGCCTATTCTATGTATAATTTTAGATACGAAGTCTTGGTGAAATTGGTGGAAGGGATTTGAAAAACTGTGTTGCAAATATATGCAGAAAACTATTTTCAAATCAGCTTGCTGTTTCGTATAGCTGGTCTGGCCGCAAAAGGCCAAAGCTTTCTTTAAAAGAAACTAATTTTGCCGATCTTATTATCTGTGAGTACATTATGTAAATAATATATTTATTATATTATATATATTATATATTATTATATTATTTTTTTATTGTTTTTTATTTTTATACTTTTTTATATAATCTACATTTTTTATTTTAAGTATTATTTTTGTTCAATTTTATAATTTTTCATAATAATTTGTTTATAATAGTTATATATTTTTAATTTGAATTAATTATTATAGCTAAATTATGTTTATTTTTAAATACAGCCAGCGTGAAAGTGAGAAATCAGAATAAAACGGACGAAAAAATAAAAGTGGAAGGCTCAAAATGGCTTGCTGGAGCAAAACATCGATTGGACTTAGAAAAGTAGGGAGTTATTTTAACTCATAAGAGAATATTCTTTACTAGTATATGTAAACCTAATTTCCTTATAACTCTTGAGGATCTTAAAATTTTTCAAGAATCCATATTTTCGGAAATAAAACGGAATTTCAAGAGCTAAAAATCTATTAAATTCAAACAAATGTGAAATTCATATTTTTATTCTTCTTTTTAGCGCAAAGAAGACAGAAGTTAATGATGGCGAAAATTCAGCTAGTGAAAATGGCAGTGTCAATCAAGATGATAATCCTCCAGATGCAGACGATGAAGAAGAAATTAATTAAACTAAAATTTGCAAGAAGAAGCGTTAATTTTGTTTCGAATTTCTTAAAGTCTTGAATTACTTAACTAATTTTGTATAATTTCTATTAAGTTCTTTAAACTGTTTATTTTCATATTATATTACTTGTTATTAGAATATGAGCAAAATATATTATGATATAATGATGTATAAGCTTTGTATTTAATTATTCATATTTTATTTTTGTATTGAACGTGGTTTATTTATTGTCTTATTTATTTTAAATTTATCAAAATATACAAAACATGTTATTCTACAATGTTGCAAAAATATTACGTTGGAATATTTCAATAACATTCAAATGAATATTTCTCATATATGTCTCAGAAATATTCAAAAAAAATTTCAGGTACATACGGAAAGTTTCATTGCTATATTCCTGCAATGTTAAAATATAATATTCCCTGAGTCGGACATTTTAATATTCCTAAAATATTCATGCAATAATAAATCTGAATATTTCGAATGTTAAAAAGAAATATTGCAGCAATATTGCTGCAATATTGCGTGTTATGTAAGTAAGTGTTACTTATCGTCACTTGCACCTATTACGGAAAGAAACTTGTTTCTAAGTGTGAGAAAAGCAACTTGCACAATAATCGAGTACAACGCGGACTGAATTGCCGATTAAAGAAAGAATTAGTGAAAAGCTACAATTAATGAAACTTGACACGCAAAATACGACAGTTAATACATTTAAAATTATTGATTCTAAGTGTCAATTTGCTTTTCTTGCACCTTTTACGGAAAGAAACTTGTTTCTAAGTGAATAACAAAATAGACTTGCACGATAATCGAGTACAACGCGGACTGAATTGCCGATTAAAGAAAGAACACAATAAATTTTGTATAACTGAAGGGTCGCTCTACAATGACTACTGGTCTATAAAACCGCACTGGAACATTTGACAATTTTTGTTGAAAAATGCTTTGCCTTATACATATACTGTTAATGTATTAGTGTTTCTTCAAACTTTACATTCGTTGGCAGTATCAATACATTATTTGATGCAGGAGATCGACTGTTACGAGGCAATGGGGCGTCCTGGCCGTCCAAGGAGAGGAGAATTCCAAAGATTTAAGGTCGATTTAGCACAACCTGGTTCTTTGAAGAAAGTAAAAGGTGACATCATGGTGTGGATAAATGATACTTCCCAATTCATTTTAACTCCAACAATGAATTTACCAGAAACTTCAGTCAATAATCAACCGTTGGATTTGTCCGTGAAGTCGCCAGTTTTCGATCTGAAATTCCAGCTAAAAGTGTATCTAAAGGGCATTAGGTCTTTGCTGGAAAAAACCGCCATTGATTCAGCCCAAATTCAACATTTCCTTCCAGGATGAAGCAGGTTCTTCCTGGTATGTGAAACCAAACGATGTAGAGGTCATTTTGGACGAAAATCCTCTCAGGATGGATCCTGAACTATCTACCTCATTCCAGGGAGAGTTGAATCCTTCCTGGTACGTGAAACCGAAAGATGTGGAAATTATTTTAGAAGAAAATCCTCCCATGGTGGATACATTTAAAGTTAAATTGTGTGCATGTGGAACGTGTTTTACATAAAATTGTAGTGTGAATGTGTGTGTGTGTGTGTGTTTTTAAATAAATAAATTTTTTTTAATAAATTTTACATTCTCAATTTATAGAGTTAATTTATTTCATTCTGTCAACCACTTTTGCAAATTCAAATATAAGATTTTTTCTCCTTAAAAATTTTTTTTTACATTTTAACAATTTATTAATTTTTGCTTATTTGATTCGTAGAATTTATTCAATAATTAACATTTCACATTAAAACATTTTAAAATTCAATAACGTAAAAGAATATTATTATAAAACATTAATATTTTATATTATAATTATTCGAAAATTCTTCAAAATAAAATAGAAACTTTAAATATTTCAAAAGAAATCTATTAAACTTTTAAAACAATAATTTTACACAATTATTAGTTCAAAGTACGAAAATTCCGATTTATAAATATTTCAATTTTAAAATTTTACGAAAATTTAATTATTTAAATATAAAAATAAATAATTTATTGAATAATTGCATGTTTTTAAAAGTACTTGAAATTCTGCGATGAGTTTTATTTATATTAATTGGAAAATAAATAAATTACTAAAAATAATTTTATTATTCATAAAAATAATTAAATGTTTGCGTACAAAATACTTAAAATCCTTTATAATGATTGATTTCAATTGAAAATTCTATTAAGTCAGCAGATATAAAAATATATAAACATTATTTATTTATTAATTACATTATAATTATAGAAAGTAAATTTATCATTCGGCAGTTAAATATTAAAGGTTTTTTAAAGGTTCTTTTTTTGAGTTCTTTGATAATTTTGAAATTATTAATTAATTTCGAAAATATTTTTCAGATTAGGCATGTTCCTGTATTAGGACAGCTGTGATGTCGATACAAATGAAACCCACGAGCTTATAGAGATTTATTTAAGATATTTAATTTATTTGTAAAAATTGATTTGGAAAATTGATAGCTTCTTTCACTTTTAATTATTAATTTATGTTTCAAAATTTAAGTTCATTAAAATTCTAATCAAATCTATTCAGCATAATTGCATTAAAGCATTGTTATTGCTAAAATAGTATGGTTAGTTGCTATTTACTAATATTAAGAAAGCAATTTTTAGTTAATTAATTGTTTAAGCATATTATTTGTTTAAAAGTTATATAATTTTTAGTAATTTATTTATATATTATTGTTAATTTAGCCATTTTTAAATAATTTAATTGTTAATTATTAATCAAAGCATATTGTTTATTCATATATATGTATATCATTATTAATGTATGAAATGTTATTTTACAATATTATTTATTTAATATAAACAATACAATCGGTATAATTTTATTATTATTATTATTGTTAGTGGGTTTTTAGTATTAATTATTAATTTGTTTATCAAATTGCAATGTAATTAATTGATTAGTATTAATTGTTAATGCGTTAATTAGAGATTTATTGCTACTATGGTTAATATTATATAGCTTTGTGCTTGACTTTCATACTTCAAGAGCTATATTTAATTTTGAATTTGAATTGTTTGCCGCTCTTTCATGATGGAAGTCATTAAAGGTTGTTTTCAGTCTTAAAATTGTTGAAATTTTTGCAGATTTTTGAGACTTACCTCCCTCCTTAGATTTTACATTGTTCTCCGTGTGTAGAAATATTTGGTTTCATTGAGTTTTTCTTCTGTTAATTTTGTTTTCTTTGTATTAGATTTAAAATTTATTTTTAATTGCAATTAAGGAGTAGCATAGATATAGTTTTCTTGCCGTGATGATAATTATTATTAATAAGAATAATTGAACGGAAAGTATGAAATCATCTTTGATTGTTTATGCATAATGTAATTTTTTTATGATTTTAAGTTTATTAATTAATAAAATTAGTTTTATATTTTAGTTTTTTTTAAGAATAATGTTTTTTTTATTGATTAATGACATTTTTTACTCATAAAATTATTTAGTTGTTTAATTTTTTGTTTTCATCATCTAACTGATTAATATAGAATAATTGGTGTGGTATTTATTTAATTCTTAGATTTACTTTCGTGTAACGTCTTGATTAGTGAGATGTTTATAAATCACAAGTTATTAGTTTTTGGTTACTAATTACTAAATAAAAGAGGAAATGAAAAGGCAACTACTAATTCCTCTAGATTCCTTTTTTTTGTTAGTTCCTGGAGTATTCCTTTTGGGTATGGTATGTTGTATATATTTCCTTTTGTAGATGAAAACAACGGTACCATTCTTCCTTGGCGTAGTGGAAAAAAATTATGGATTTTGGCATTTAAAATTTAAAACTATGTTATTATTATTATTTATGGGCAATTTTTTTTTACATGCCTTTGGAACCTTTGTCCTTTTCATTTAGCGCCCTAAGTCAATCAGTATTCTCCACTTTTTCTCACCAGTTTTATAATTCGTTTTTTAATTTTCTTTGATGTCGGAATTTTATCACACATAATTTTTTAACTGCAAAAAAAGGCATTTTGTGATTTTAAAATTTTTATAAAATTTATCTATTAAGATTTTAAATATTCAAAAACAACTTATAATTATTGAGGAATATTTGTGAATTATGAAGGAATAAGTTTAAATGACAGGTTCGCCGGACGGCGCAAACTATCGTTTGATTAATTAATATTCGCCGGATGGCGCAATAATAATATCACAGTTTATCTTAATTAGAAAAATGAAATCTTTGCTTGAACGGTTCCGCTGGACGGCGCGAACTATTCTTAATTCTAGCTGAAACTCGCCGGACAGCGCAAAAACAGCTTAAATTACAGGATTTTGTAAGATTTTAATAAAATTGTTTTCAAATTATAAATGAGGAATGTTGTTAGAGTGTCAGTTTAATTTGTTTATATTGTGAGTGAGTGTTTAACTTGCACCTTAAGAAGGAAAGAATAGTGTTTGGCGAGCAGAAACTAACAATTCTAAGTGTTAAGACTGACAACTTGCACAATAACCGAGTACAACGCGAACTAATGAATTATTAAAAGTGGGAGAGTTTGTAGACAATTATGGGGGTAAAAGATGTTCAATTCTTAAGAATATCACTTATTCATTATAAGTCTATTTATAAATAAATTTCGGAGAAAGAATGCGTCTCATCGGCAACTAGCCAATACGTTTACCTCAAATATGGAAAATGTGAAACTCGAGTTACAAGCAATGATTCCTAGAATTCAGGTTGCGGGAAAGGTTCATAGCAGGCGAGTTCGAGCTTACATGACGGACGTATTGCCGATGCAGCGCATTCCTTTCTATTTTGATCAATTTTACCTCTTACTTTGTTTTTCTCTTCATTTTAATGTTGAGACAATTGGATAGAACAAAGTATAATGTTTCAATTCTGCTTCTATCTCAATTTTGAATTCTAAATGCTTTTAACATGGGTATTATATGTTTTAAAGATAATGACATTCTTCTAGCTCATTGTTACATCGCAGTTACACAAACA